TGCCAGCCTTCATGGTTAGGAGGCTTCTCCTCTCTTTCCCATTATGTACAAAAGGAGACCATCTTCTTTGGTTTTCTACATAAAAATTCTTTACTCTCAAATGATAGTCAGTCTGCTATAATATATTCTTCTTGTGTGAGAGAGTGTTGCCATTGTCAATTCATTGGCGTTAAACAGAAGGTGCTTCTGCGTTAGCTGGTTCTAACCGTCATATCTTGGGATACAAAAGCCGATATACCTCCAGCACCCACGGTGAGGCGGTGAATCTGTTTTAAAGAGACTGTGGTATCATACAAGTTTTGATTTGCTTCCTTTTACTCTTCTATTTTAGTATTTTAATTTTGTTCATCAAGTTGTATGATTTAGTCCCATAATTTCTTATTCTGTAAATCAATTTAATTAAATATGAATCTTTTTATTTGATCTAAATGCGCTTTTTATACAACAGGTACAACTGTTTATTCAAGATCAAATCAGTATCTAGACTCTTTAATTCTTCTTGAGGTGTGAAAAATAGAGATAGAAAGTTCTAATGACATCCATACACATGTTGATGTATTGAGATTGATCTCATCATCATAACTCCATGGATTCAGATCATTAAAAATTTCTGCTTCAATTACACTTTTCGATAGTGGTGTTCTTCAGCGAATTTTGAGAACTTGAACTTGGAAATTTTGATGAATTGGTTCATCATCGTGGGTTTAACATTGGCATTATGGATTCATTGTTGGAAAAATAATTCTGTACTAAAAACAACATTTGAGGAGGCAAAGGGATTGAGACAATTTGAGTGTGAATCATTTAGATGATTGTGTGGAATTCCTTGTGTAATTTCATATTTTTCTTAGTGGGTTGTTTTGGAGGCCGTTAACCTATGAATTTTTTATTTGTTATTTTTTTTTTCACAATTGGATGTGTTTCAATTGTGATTTTTCACATTAAATTGTTCTTGTCTCATATTGTTAATAAATCTAATTTGATTGGATCTTGAATTAGATTAGATCTATATGTTTTTGTTGGGAATTAGATTGAATTGATTGATGGAATGGAAAAATTGAATTAGTTGAATTGTAATTACAAATCAATATTTTGAAATACTCAAATTTTCAGTATACAATGTCTCAAGGACACTCATCATTTTTTTTTTATTTTAAATTGTCTCATTTTTTTACTATCATGATGTTAGAGCCAAGACTTTCTTTGTAAGTTCGCTCCAGTGCAGCACACTAAGCCACTCCAATACACTTTCTCTTTGAAGCATTTTTTTCTAATTATATCATATTAAGGATGCTCACGAGTTGAGTTTGGAGTAGTTTTTGTAGTAAGTCGCCGCACCCCATGTCATATTGGAGGTGGCAACGGCGGTGGTAGGACTACAAGAAAAAACACATTTGACGACTAAATTTTTAGTCGCCAAAAGTGAATTTTTAGTCGCCAAAAGTCGGGTTTTAAGTTTCCCCAACTGAATTTTTTAGTCGCCGGCTTGGTCGTTGAAAAACTGTCGCGAAAGGTATTGACGACTAACAAACTTTTAGTCGCCCAAAAACCAAGTCTGTAGCGACTAAAATTTTCGTCGCCAAAGCTCATTTATATTTTTTAAATTATACATTTGGCGACTAAATTTTTAGTCGCCAATAGTGAATTGTTTTTTTTTTAATTTATACATTTACCGACTATTTTTTTCGTCGCCAATACTGAAGCTTTTGGTGAACGCCCGTTTTAGTCGCCAAAAGCTTATTTCAGAAAAAAAAAAATAAAAAATTTACCGTCTGCTCTTCCCAAGTTTTGAACCACCAACCTTCCACACTCTAAACGTCTGCCAACACACTCTCCCTACTATGCCACAATAACATCACATGAATATATATGCAAAATATATTATTTATATAGTATGTTGACCCGTATTAATATTAAACTATATATATAAACATAATTAGTTTTATTCAAAATATAATTTATGTAAAAAATAAATTATTTATTTTTTTAAAAAAAAGAAGCCACTTTTGGCGACTAAATTTTTTTTTAGTCACCAAAAACCTTAGTTTTGCCTACTACCACTACTAAAAAAAATACTTTTTGCGACCGCCACAAGCCGTCGCAAATAATAAAAATACAGTCGCAAAAGACTTTCTGCGACGGCCTATGCGACCGCAGATGGGGGACGCAAATGTGGGGGTGGCAAATACTTTTTGCGACGGCAAAACAACGATCGCAAATTATTTGCGACCACCTAAACTATTTTTTGCGACAGCTATTTTGCCGTTGCAAAAAAAAAGAAAATAAAAAATACTTTTAGCGACCATTGTTTTACTGTCGCAAATAATTATTTCTTAAAAACAAAATCATATACAGGTTTGCTACAACAAAAAAATCAATTACAAGCATCAAACAATTTTTTGTTAATGAAAAATAACAAAATTAACAAATTAATTAAATTTATAATAGACATTATCTATTAACCATCCTTAAATACACTGTACTAAAAAATTCAAGTCTTCAAAGAAAATGGCTCCTAACATCAATCGCTCGATCATATCAACTATTCCCTCAACAAAATCTGCAAAAACATATATCAAACTCAACCAGGTGCCTTCATACTATAAAATGCTATGTAGTTAAACACAATATAAATTCATACTATAAAATGCCATGTAGTTAAACACAATATAAATTCAAAGAGATAGCCATTCTTCAAAGAGGGAAATCCCAACTATTGAAATTCTGAAAATAAAATAATATATGAGTTAAGAGTTTATTGGGGCCAACTGAAAATAAAAAGTTACTAAATCTTTTGAAACCAAACAGACTCATCAAAAAAATGTAATAACATAATTAAATATATATTTTTTAAATTCCTTCATTTTGTCTTTAAAAGTATAATTTTTGCAAGGTGATCCACAATCTATAAAATGCTAGTCTACAGGAGTAAATCCAGTAGAAAACCAGAACAGAGACAATATGATACCCAAATCAAAAATTCAAAATTCAAAATTTCCACAACCCATCATCAAAAACCTATAAATTACAGTAGGTTCTTCAATCTCAGTTCCAATTGGGCATCTAGGATTTTTTTATACAACAACAACAGCAGAGAAACTCGCAGTATCCAAAAAAACAGCACAAAAACTATCAAATACCCATTAAAGAGAAGCGAAGAAAGAAGAGAAAAGAGTGCACCTTTGAGATCATGGGAGTTCCAATAAAGAGAGACTCAAATTTGAAATGAGAAAGCCAAAAGAATGTAGGGTTTGAATACTAAAGAGCTAATCTCATAAATGCACTCCCTTGAGGTTAACGACCAAACTTTCACGGATTCCTCACTGACAGATGCCAGATAGTCTCCGTTAAGATCCCAACACAACCACTCCAGAGTGCCCCTGATTCCAAAAGGTACCGATGCCACATGAATGATTATATAATCTCAATACGCCACGTGAATGATTACATAATCTCAATACAGAACACAATCATCAATGGAATAATAGAAGACAAATACAAACCTGGAATGCGTGAGTTTGTCTATCAGTTTCGACATCAAAGATGGACACCACCTTATTTGATGCTGCTGCCAGTACATGTCCACTTATTGGTTGAAATCTCACCTGAGCACTGCCTTCTTGCTACACCAAGTAACAGATAATCAAAACTCAAGGATAATACAGTGCAACTTCAGTAGAAATTTGTAGACATGTGAAACAAAAGAGAATGTTACAAAATCCAACCTTAGAAACACGGGCGCAAGTGAATGGATTGATATTCCAATAGCGAATTTCATTGTTACTATCACAAAAACAGAAAAGATCGTTCTTCTTGGGATGGAAATCTAGGGATATAACATGATTAGGGTGCCCGGTGTATGCATTTAAACAACATATTATCATCCAGAGAACCGACATCTCCAAAATGTTCTATGTCTTCCTGCACTAATAATCAATGTTGAGCTTCATGTTACACAGAAACTTCATCCATGAGACAGATTCATTCAATACAGACTTCATGTCAATGTCAATGCTAACAGATTAATCAATTAGAAAATCCAATCAGCATGATCAACGAACTAATTTAATATCACATATAAATCAAGCAAATTCAACACTAGGACTTTTTATCTTCTAAATTCAAATTTACCAGTTCTTGCCTCAACAAATTCAAAATTGCCGATAATAAATGAAATCTTGATTTCAAGTTAAAAACAATAATGTACTACTCACTATAATGTATTGAAGAAGAAATTGAGAGATATACACTAATGGATATGGAAAATGCAAGAAAATAGGGCAAGAATAAGATGAGTTGAACCAGTACATACCTGTACGAGGATGAGACGAATTAGTCGAACCAGAGCTTCCTCGTATGATATGTATGTGTAGATAGATAGATAGATAGATAGATAGAGAGAGAGAGAGAGAGAGAGAGAGAGAAAGAGAGAGAGAGAGAGGGATTGGGGGCGAGATTGAGAGAGAGATTCATACCGCTGGAGATCTTCAGACGACGATGACGAGTGAGAGAGCAGAGCTGTACAAGTCCGTTGAATGCGTGCGAGAGAGAGAGAGAGAGAGAGAGAGAGAGAGAGAGAAAGAGAATGATCCGCCATAGATCTTTAGAGCTATTTGTCAATTCTCTCTCTAGAATCATCTAGAACACAAGCTATCAGAGACATATACACAAATATATGCATGTATATAAAAAGAGAGAAAGAGACCTGGAAGAGGATGAGGAGGGCAGGGGCGAAGGCGAGGCAGCCGAAGGAGAGAGAAACGTTACTGGCGACCTGAGAACTGAGAGCTTCGACGATTGATTTAAGACAGAGAGAGAGAGAGAGAGAGAGAGAGAGAGAGAGAGAGAGAGAGAGAGAGGAACGATATCAATGTTTGTGAAATAGGGCTAGGGCAATTACAATGAAAAAAGGAAGAAAAAATAAATATAAGGAATAAATAGATTATTTGCGACTGGCAATTAGGGGGTCGCAAATTGTATGGTAGCAAAAGGTCATTTTTCTAGTAGTGATTCAAGCATACAACACATAAAATGTGAAAATCAGAGAAGAAGTACTTCACTCTTGAAAGAACAGAATCATGTGTTGGATCGTAAGGATGGTCCTTGGAAGGAATCTCCAAAATTGTTGGAATTGGATTGTTGTAGCTATCTACAAAAAACTTTATCATGTTTGCAACCTGAAGATGAACATTGTTGCATTAGACAATGTTTTATCCACAGAATCAAATTACAAATGAAAAATCACACCACCACAAAATCAATGTACTCATTCGTCTCTTACTACCAGACTATAATAATTGTGGGACTTTGTGATTTACATGAATGTTGTAATAAAGGTTTAACTTGAAGTTTAGGAAGCATTAGTAAATTCAGCACCAAAGTATGAAGTCCCATTGACTAAAACATTAATGTAACATGCTAAATCTATGACACGACCCATACTCATTCATCATAAACTTTTAATATTTTTTTCTCATTCACATGATAGAATTTAAATAAAGAAGAAAAAGAAAAAAGAAGCACCTTAGGGTGCTCATGATACATCTGATAGGGTATAAGCATGCACTATAATCATATGCATAAGTCATACCACAGAAGAGCATTAAAATCAATCAAAAATATGACAGAGTAGAACAAAAACTTACATATTGGCTGATCATCACTATTGCAACGTCTTCTCTTGTTGTAAACTCCTTGAATGCTTCTTCAATTTGCTTAACAGTTATTTCTAAGCCATAATAAAAGAACATTTATAAGCCAAAATAAGAATATCTAAAAATTCAATTGAATTGAAATTAACTCGGGGGAAAGGACAGATTCTAATTCCATAACTAAGGATACAGGGCAAGAACAAAAATTTGGAGCGATATAACAGCATCTAAAACCCATGTAGTTTCAAGTTCTCTCTCTCTCTCTCTCTCACAACAATTTTAAAGCAAATTTTGAATCTCCTTAGCTGCTCATTTTGTTACAGAGAAACAAAATCTACAACATAAATGACAAGAGTAACTAGCAGGCTTTAATGATTTTATCATAAAATTAAAGTATGTTGACCATCCAGTCATTTATTGGAGATAGCTTTTCAATTCATCATATGCCTAAAACATTAAAATTTCACAACATTTGGAGCTCAAAAGCATACTTGAGTCCACAATTAGGTAATTTGTCTTTCTCCGCAAATCCACATTGCCTACTCCAGCTAGTAAAAATCCAGTTATTGTGTCCTACATCAGATAAATTTAACTCCAATCAGCTCCAGCAAGATTGAGCATCACATTAGCAGTCATCTTAAAGACCTTCATAAATATACACCAAGATGTCAGGAACAAGCAAAAGCATATCTGATACTGTTTTAACAACCTACCAAGCCACATGATCAGTACTGTTATCTGCAACTGCATTATCCTTGTGGGAACTCAACGTAAGAGAAGACAGAATAAATCCACTGCACATTTATTGACTGTGAACTCACATAAGATGGGAAAATCAACAACCAAGTTCAGACCAAACAGTGAGAACAGATTCAGAGATGAAGAAATCAAAGTGCTTTGTACATATTAAAGTTAGTTGAAACGAATAAAGAGGTACACTAGCTTTGAGTCAATTTCAAAATCCACTCACAAAAAAGCCTTCAACACCTCCTTCAATGGAGTCACCCACTAACAACATGAATTTTTGCTGTGTTCACTCCCAAGTCATCAAATTCATGTTTTCTTATTTGTATTTATTTATTTGTCCAATTTAATTATGAAGCCAATTTCTCTTCATGAAATGATAATATTTTTAAGTGGGTATGGATTTCAGATACCAAAAATCAGTTTAAAATGTTAAATATAGGGATTCTGGAGTGAACATCATTCCTATATGAAATAAGAGATGTACAAAAAACTCACCATCGAGATATATGTTCCTCAAATCCAATCTTGCTCCTGGAGTGAACATCATCGCTGCCTGGCCTCAAAACTTGGGCCCCAGCGCTCTTCCAGAAGATTCTAGAAGAGTGAACTTCACTGTCATGTCAGGGACTTCCATGGCTTGTCCACATGTCGGTGGAATTGCTGCTCTGATCCATTTAGCTCATCCAACATAGACCCCAGCAGCTATTAAATCTGCAATCATGACAATAGCGAAAATCATAGACCATTCAGGAAGGCCAATAATGGATGGAGACAAACCTGCAAGAGTTTTCGCGACTGGAGCTGGACATGTAAACCCTAAGAGAGCCATCAATCCAGGACTGGTATATGATATTAGGCCAGATGAGTATATCACTCATCTGTGCACCCTGGGATACACAAAATCTTTCATAATTACTCACAGGAATGTGAGTTGCCATGAGACTTTGTTGGAGAACAGGGGTTTTAGTATCAATTATCTTTCGATTTCGGTGATGTTCACGCCCAGGAAGATGAGTAAGGTAATCAAAAGGCAATTGACAAATGTAGAGAGTCCTAATTCCATTTACTCGGTCGAAGTAGTGGAACCTGAAGGAGTCAAAGTAAGAGTTAAACCGCAAAGACTAATATTCAAATATACGAACCAGCAGTTGAGTTACAGAGTTCGGATTATTTCAAGGAAGAAAATAACAACAAAAATATGAGCTCTACACAAGGGCATTTGATATGGGTGCACTTTGACAAAGGTCTTTCCAGGGTTAGAAGCCCTATTTTAGTGACATGGGCATCTAAGAAGCAACAACAGTAATTATGGTGGCAACAATAATGGCAGTAGTAATGTCAACTTATAATACCTTCTGGTTTTGGACTTGGAAGGTTGAGACCAATGAAGATCTAATGATCATTTTATATTTTGAATTCTAGAAGAGGAATCTGGGGCACAATTTTATCATTCGATAAAGACAGAAGAATTCAATATAATTTAAGAGTTCTAATATATGTTTCTTTAAGGCAAAAGGGGTCTCTAAATAAGCAGGTCAGCATAAATTCTCACTATCATTCTTTCTATCCACTTATCACGATTTTTCCAGAGATAAAATATTCACAGAATTGAAGCCAAAGTAGAACATCAATCTGCCCAAGTATGAGCATTGACTTCAACAAGCTTCAGTTAAGTTTAACAACTGTGGTATCAAGAAAACTACAAAAATATCACATGCAAAAATTCTCTACGAAAAATAAACACATGCAGATATGCAAGAGAACTAACAATAAGAAAAGATTTCTCTACGGAAAATATATGTTCCTCAAATCCAAGCTTGCACCTGATCCAAGCTTGCGCTAGGGCCCAAGTTTTGAACTGTTGTTTTTTATACCAATTCCAAATCTATCACTTCATAGTGAAACATTTCAATTCAACAAACCACAAACATCAATATCTCCCTATTTATGACTATTATTTGTGACACAAAGATGTTTGCAAGACAATAGATATACACATTCAAATATTCAATACTCTATGCATTTAGCTATATGAATCGAATTCAAATTCAAAAACGAGAGAGAAAGATATCAGTACCAAGTAATTCATCATTTAATTCAAGATCTAAATTACTTCTGAGCTTCCTCAAACTAAATTGAAATTGAAAACTGCACAGATAGGTTGAAATCAAAATTAAACAAAGCAATATAGAAATCAACTACGACTAAAACATGTAACCAAGAAGAATTCAAAGCAGAGCAACAAGATTATAAACTAGAAAAATCATTCAAAGATTAACCAAATTATGCTCAGTTTGGTTGCTAAGAAAATGTAACATAGACACAGGAAAACAAATATATATATATATATATATATATATATATATATTTTACCTTAATTGAGGTGAGCTTCAGTTGTCTAGCCAAACAAACATAAAAGCATAATACTAAAAGTTTGAAATTTGGTTGGTTCCTAAATTTTTCTCAGCATACAAACAAGAGGTTCAAAAACTAAATGAAATTTAGCAAACAATCTAGAGAAATGTTCAGATCAAGTTTTAAAGCCAAAGAAAATCAAGATTTAATAATCTAAAAAAATAAAAATAAAAAATAAAATGAATCTTCGAATAAAAAAGATGTTTCAAAATCAGAATCTGCACTGTATTGATAAAAATAAATTGAATTGGAAAAAATTCATGTTGTTACCGTTGATGTTGATCTTCGAAATCGAACAAAGCTATGAGTCGAAGAGAATTTGGGAGTTGAAAGAAAGACATATGGATTACAGAGACAGCGTTGGATTCATACATAGAAATTAGGCTTACCAATTATGAATCGATCCAAATCTTCATCAACAGCAGATCGAAATCTTCAAATCTTCATCAGCAATCGATCAAAATCTTTATATCTTCATCAAAGTGGGAGTCGAGCGAGAGAGAGTGGAGAGTCGAGTGAGAGAGAGAGGAGAATTTGTGAGATTACCAGTATGATTTGTGAGGTTTTGAGAGAGAGAGAGAGAGAGAGAGAGAGAGAGTTGGGAAATAAGAGTGAAAGGGATAGGGCAAGTTTTACACGATTTTGGGGGTTTTTTTTTTTTTTTTTTGGTTCAGTTAAGAACACGATTGGGGGTTAAGCAAAACAGGATTGTTATGGAAAAAAGTGATTTTTTGCGACAGTTAAATAATTAGTCGCAAAAAAATAGACGCAAAAACTCATATTTCTAGTAGTGTACCAATAATTTAGTCGCTAAAAAAATTAATTTCCGCCTAAAAATAACCACTTTCGGCGACTAAACTGATTTTTAGTCGCCAAAGCCGCCACTTTTGCCGACTAAACTCAATTTTAGTCGCCAATTGTCCACTTTTAGCTACTAAATTTTTTTTAGTAGCCAAAAACCTTTACTTTTGGCTACAAAAATTTTTTTTTGTCGGTAAAACACCTACAATCGGCGATCAAACCATTTTTTAGTCGCCAAAACCTATGCTTTTGACTACTAATTTCTTTTAGTCGCCAAAAACCTTCACTTTTGGCTACTAAAATTGTTTTAGTCGCTAAAACCCATATAATCAGCGACTAAACTGATTTTTAGTCGCCAATAAGTATACATTTGGCTACTAAACTGTTTTAGTCGCCAAAAGTGAAGACTTTTGGCTACTAATTCAATTTTAGTCGCCAATTGTCCTACTTTCAGCGACGAAATTTACATTTTTGGTCGCCAAAACTGCTTTTTGTTGCAGTGGGGGAAACTAAGAAACCTTGGCTCCTACCAATATAGGCCACTGCCTATCACAACCAAAGGATTTACTCCACAAGTTTAGGTATGAGGGGAGAAGGTCATGAATTAAGCACTCCTGCTCACCTAATGAAAGATAGGCCTTTACTAATTCTTGATATAAGATTAATTACCATAATATGATCATATAACCCATTTATTAATACTAACTTTACTACGTGGAGTAAACAAACTAAATGGCCTATTTAGGAATATTCTAATCTCTCGCATTTTGTAAAGGTTTTTAAAGCAACGATCTCATAAATAAATATATATATAAAAAAGGGCAAAACTCTCACATGAAGCGAACATAATTACCCTAACTTAGACAATAAGACCTCCAAGCTATAGGTGTGGGCGTCGTGCCTTTTTTGAGTCTAAGGCATGCATCCCACACCGACTTGCTTTATCAACGTAGAATCGCCACTTAATTTTTAAAGAGGAATTGAAAAACCTTTAACGATGAAAACTAAGTTAAGGCCTAGTCCGTTATAACCAAGAACATTTCGGGTTTGGGAGCTTAGGTAAAAATAGGGAAGACCATTTACATAGAAGCGTCTCCTTTTGCCTAATCCAAAGATTGGCCTATATTCACTCTCTATTTTATGATTTTAGTGGTTAATCATTCATACAAATCATTTTGGACATAAAAACTTTAATTTACCTAAGCTAGATGATTTGAATAAAAATATGCATCATTTATTTTAGATTGAATGAGTAAAGCCATATATTTCATAAAAAGTGATTTTTCATTATAAATGGATTTTTGACAACCTATGGCCTTAAACATAAACGAAAATATGTAATACTCCTAAAAATCAAACAAAACAACCAATTTTGCATACAAAGAGCATATAGACTTGGATTATTGAAAAACAATGCACATAACACCCATATCCCAAAGAAGAAAGAAGGACTTACTCGGTTGCCCACTTCATGCGTCTTATATGCAATACATAAATTAAATATGACCTAAATGCAACTTATACATACAATATATGAACCTAAGCCCTGTTTGAGGCTACTAAATGATGAATATCCATAAAAAGACCAAATAACACATAATGAGAAATGATTTTTTAAACTGTAATTTTCTAGAGATCTGTTAGAGGATATGAGCTATAGAAACTGATATCTAAATTTTTGATCTTCTAATTCTTGTATTAGTTCAGTACTAATTTTAATTTTATTCCTAAGGTCTTCGTCTAAGGGCATATACTTTTCTGATTTTTTGAAATTTAAATTTTTATTTCTAAAGTCTACGTCTAAGGGCATAAATTTTTTTTGATTTTTTGAAATTTAAATTTTTATTTCTAAAGTCTACGTCTAAGGGCATACAAATTTTTTGATTTTTTGAAATTCTTATATGGACAATATTTCCTTAATATTTCTACTCGGGTTGCTCTCCTTTTATTCTAAAATTCTTTTCTATGGTTAAAACTATTTTTAAGAAATGTTTGTTTTCATTACATGTACTCCCACCTTGAGACTAAGCCTCGTTCAACATAGTATATTTTTATTTTTCATTTTTTACTTTTCCCTTTCTGCCTACAATTCGCCCTCCAACGCCTAACCACGGCTCACACGGGCTCTTCAGCTAAGGTCACTCAGTAACAAAATAGAAAACTGAAGATACTACGAAGGTTCAAAGCATGTAATATTAATGAGCAAACAAGCATTCCATAAACTTAGTTTTCCCAAAAAGAAAATAAATTTTTAGAATAGAAGAGTTACCCTTTCGAAATATTTAAGGAAAAAGAGAAACTACTCACACTTCATATTAATAAGAAATATACTTACAAAGATTATATTACAGACTCTGAAACTCTGAAAAACTTAATACACTTAAAGGTTTTTGAGAGGGGTTGGAAAATTTAGAATGCAGAGTGAAGTGGTGTTTTTCATTCTGCTTTCTTCGTTGGCATGCAAGCCAATTTATACAACTCAAAAGAAAGATAAAAACAAAAACCCTAATCTATGTCC